CAACTTTAACAATTTATATACACTTTGCATATTTGAAAGCATATTCACAACTCATCAAATAAAATACAGAGCTGCCTAAATTTGTCAAAAAAATTAACATGACCAGAAGTTTGATTGTACAGCACCCTACTCTAGCTTCTATGCACAAGCCAAAAACATATACATACAAAATGCCTGAACACTCCTACTTAGAGCCTGGCGGACTCCTTCCTTTTTCCTACAACACAACTACTACTAATGAGCTAAAACTCAAAGAAATACACAACTATAGTATAAGAAATAAGAAATATAAAATTTGTAGTCAAATGTAAATAATATTGGAATTTCTATAAGAATCATAAGCTGTATAAGAAATTAATTTATATTTAACTTTTCACATTTCATGTTCTGTTTACTTATCAATATTTTTAGCTAAATCATACGATAATTATAGGCTTTTGCATACTTATAGCTCTCTCATTAAAGGTCGGATCTGAATTCTCAAATTTTAGAAGTGAGAGTGCAGCTCTCATTCAAAATTAGATCTGAATTTCCAAGTTTTATAAGTGAGAGAGTCAAATACCTACTATAAGGTCCCTAAGGCTTATTTCATTAAGTCTTTCGTCTTTACTTGTGTGGGTCTATCCCCATAATATGATTTTTATTATTTACATTTCATTAAGCTTAACATTTTCATAAAATATAACATTATGTCCAGTATTTCAGCTAAAAACAAGTGTTGAACTCAATCGAACTAGTAAACAATTAACATGCTGGAAAAGAAGCAAATTGCTACCATAATTATATAAAAATGCTCTCATTTCCTATATTATAGAGTAGGTATCTCACCTTATTCTCTAGGGTATTTGGGTAAATTTGTTCCCCTCAAATACCCCGGCCTCTTTTCCTTTTATATATAACCTAAATAATACATTTTTTGTCATTTACAATGCATTTTAACTTAATATTAATGAAATTAAGTTAGTAAATCCATCCAAAAAGGCATGTAAATTTACCTCAAGTGCACGTCTCCTTCTTCAAACCAAAATTTTCTTTCCTCTCCTAAACCCCTTTTCCATTCTTCCCTTCCTTTCTTTCCTCTCGTCCTTATTGAATTCACCAAACAGCCAGAGCCCTTTTCCTTATTGAATTCAACAAACAGTCACTCTTTACTCTATTCCTTATTGATTTCAGAAAACACTAATTTCAGCAAACACAAATTTTAGTAAACAATTACAGCCGTTACCCACTTCCTGAATTTTTCCCCAGCAGCCATTTCAACCATAGCAGCCCGGTCCTTGCTCGCCTCCTGGTTGTAGCACGCCTCAAACTCCAGAGACTCAGGTAGGGAGGAATGAAGGAAAATGCATTTACTAAACTTAGTATTATATATATATATATATACATATCAATTACTAGCTAGTGCTCTTTCCACTCACCTTCCCAAATCACTCTCCGTCGTTGGATCAAATCCCCAAGGAATTAGTGACTGCATGCACGGGTGAGTGGAGGGCTGGCTACAGGAAGATAAAATCTAATTAATTTTTAATTACTATTACTTAATTACTTAAATTTAGATATTCTTAAATGCATATAGATATAATTAAGCTTATAATTTATGTATACTTCTATATATATATCAAAATGTTCAAAATTTAAATTTGGATTTAATGAAAATAAATTTAACATTTTTGTATGTGTGAGAAAATAGGATAAAATTGTATGCTTACTTTTTGGCAAACATTTTGGGTATTTTATTTGTTAAGGGATGAAAGTAGCCACCGTAATTATTCCCTAGAGGGAGAAAAACTGCTATATAAGGGGAGATTTGTGTTGTTATGGACCTTAGTCTATATTCCTCAACTTAAGCAGGAATTTCATGGGAGCGCTGTAGGGGTCATTCGGTGGTGCAAAAGAAGTACAGAGGTTGGCGGCAGAGTTGTATTGGAAAGGGATGCATAAGAATTTGGAGGAGATCGTGGCTAGATGTGAGGTGTGACAGAGGAGCAAATACATAGTCATGGCTCCGGGAGGGTTACTAAAACCTATAGGTCTTCCGGACATAGTGTGGCAGGAGGTTATCATGGATTTCTTAGATGGGCTACCCAGGTGTGAGTTTACAGTGATTTTTGTGGTGATGGATAGATTGATCAAGTATGAACATTCTATTCCCCTACGACATTCGTACACGGCAGTGATAGTGGCAACGACATTTATCAGGGAAGTGGTTAAATTGCATGGAATACTGAAATCTATAGTGTCCAATTGAGACAAAGTGTTCCTCGATCAATTTTTTAGGAGCTATTCAGGATGTAGGAGACAGTATTGAAGAGGAGCACCGCTTATCACCCCCAAACAGCCGGGCATAAGGCAATGATAAATATGAGCCTAAATACATACCTACGATATTTTGTTTCAGAGACACCTCAGCTGTGGGTCAAATACTAATATAACACTTCATATCATTCAGCTTTACAGATGACTCATCTAAAAGAGTTGTATAGGAGGGACCCTCCTGACTTTATGCACTTTGACCAGAATAGCATACTAGTCTCGCCGGTGTAGTACATAGAGGAGAGGGATAGGTTGTTAGTCATATTAAAAAGGCATTTGTTGATGACCCAGCAAATCATGAGGATGAAGGCATATATGCACAGGAAGGACATGTAGTTTGAGATAGGTGATAGGGTACTTGAAGCTTCATCACTACAGACAAAGGGTGGTAGCTAAAAGAAGAAATGAGAAGCTAGTCCCAAGGTACTTTGGGGAGAAGATTGGAGCATATGCTTATTGATTGAAGTTGCCCCCAACGCTATTATACATTAGGTGTTTCATGTGTCACAGATGAGGAGAGCTATCGATAATCATGCATCAAGTTCAGAGTTACACATGACACTAACAGAGAATTTGTAGGTGGTGTTGGAACTAATGGAGCTGAAAGGGGTACATGGAGAGGAATGGATCAAGAAAGTGTTGATTAAATGGAAGAACATACGTAACTATGGCACCACATGGGAGCTGTATGAGAGAATGAAGCAGTAGTTTCCGTCTTTCCACCTTGAGGACAAGATGGGTCTTTGAAAAGTTGGTATTGATGGACCGGTCAAGGAGTGAGATTTGATATGTATTGTATGCCTCAAGTAGGTTATTGATCCTAGGATTCAGTTTTTATAGTTAATTTGGTTGAATTTAGAATTGCTTAGGTTGAGAGGGCAGAGGACTATAGCCGACAGCTATGAATTTGGGAGAGTTGGATCTTCCTCTCCAATTGAAGATCCAATTGTATCTTGTGTTTCTTTCAATAAAAAGTGTTCTTGTGTGTTCTTCATATTTTTCTTGTTGTAATTTCCTGATTTTGTTGAAATTGCATCCACTTCCTATCAAAAACTTGAGTAATAAGGAGTCTTCAAACATCAACTACCTCCCATATAGACGCACTGAACTTCACCATAAAAATTTTGATAATAGAAATGGATATTTTCATTACATTTATACCACTTAATCAAATAGTTTATCTTCATCTTTTATTTAGAGGTAAATGACCATGTAGTTAATTGTACAATAATAATACAAAGATTATTAAAAGGAAGATCTGTATAGCATGGTTCTTCAAGTGCTAAACAACGTATAGACAAAGAAATCTCAATCCATACCAAACAACTAAAGTACACAAATAAAACAATAAGGTGGCCCAAGGATCATAATATTTTTTAGGAGAGTTATGGAGCAGTACCTATGCAGGAACATCATGAATACGTACTGAAGGAGGTATGGTCTAAAGTCATGTAGTCACTCAATCGTCAACTGTGAACAGCTTACACAGAAGCCGAGGCATTCGATTGCTACTGACATGTGAGAAGTTCGGATAAAATTTTATTTATTCAATTAGAACATAATTTCATTCAGAGATCCTTCTTAGTAATGTATTAAAACACTTGCAGGCATTTAATCAATGACACAGATCATCTTGAAAGCATGCTGCGATGGAGCTATATTGAATATGGTATTTGATAAGAAGCTTCTTTTGTTATGGTGTAATATGTGCCTTGTGTTATGGTATAATAACACAATTGTTTTGTTTTACTTGTTATCTTTGTTGAAGTACATTTACATTTTATGTTGTATTTGAGAATTGAATAGCTCCAATTTTAACTTGGGCAAAATAAATCTTAGTTGACTCATTCCATCATGATTGAAAACTGTTTATCTTGTTGGCTTATTCTGTTTAGGTCTAACTTGGTTTAGCTACCTCATTTTGGCAAGAGAATCAAAGCAGTCATTGTTTATGTTGTGTTGGAGTAAAAGCAGATTAAAAAATAGCAGCCTTTTAATTACATCTTATGGTTCATAAAATGTGCATTTACACAATAATTTGATTATGAGATAATTAAAGCTACTTGAAGTATTCCCGAATTTGTTAAAAATCATCCTTCTTGGCAGCATGTGCTGCTCTCAGATATGGAAGTTCTTCCCCAGCTCATCCAACATAACCCTTCAACCATCATGAATGCACAAATAATTGCCTTGAGTCCTGTATTACATTGCCAAATAATTTCACAACATTTAATAGCTATAATGCCAAACAGTTTTAAGGATTTAACACGCTAAGATTTAGTAAATTCTGATTTACAGGATTTATTATGTCCTACTAAAGTTAAATCCTGATTGATGCCAAACAGGCCCTCAGAATTTAGAAAATATGGATTTCCTGGATTTGCAAAATCCAGCTTAAGATAAATCCAAGTTGAATTCAAGCATTCACTTATTTAATAATATCATCTTGCGGTTAATGGTGGATTTCTTTGATCTAATAGCAACAGTTTATCCTCACTAGGCTGCCGTTTTCTCCATTACTTTCATCTTTTTCTCTGTCTGAATTTTGTAGTTTCCTACTGTTGATGCAGCAATTGATTCTCATAACGTCAAAACTTTCCTAATCTTCAAATGATCGTAGCCATGGCTTGACCATACAATGTTAAATAACAAAAACAAAGGCTCGAGCTCGATTGAGAAGAATTTACCTGAATGGTTCTGCCTTGCTGAATAGGGATGGCCTCAACATGAACAAGCTCGCCAAGCTGGGCTGCTCTGATATGGTTAGTGGAGAGCTGGACGCCAGCGACGCGTTTGAAGCCGGAGTTAATATATGCACCCATGCTCGCCATGCCCTCCGCTATCATCGCTGTCACGCCGCCGTGCAGAACCTTGAACGGCTGATCGACAAACAAGGGGTTCCCCGATTTCGTAAGAGTAATAAGAAAAAATATTGAAATTTCGTAAACACAATACAAAGAAATGCCTGGCAGCATGATTCAGTGATGGTGAGGTGGCCGGTGAGCCTTTCCGAGGAAAGGAGGTCGTATTGAAAGCCCACGGCGTGTAGAGGGCGGTCGAGCGACGCCGTCTTGGATGGCGGAGGAGATTTTCCGGTCATCCTGGCGGGCTCTCGTTGACGATCGGGGAGAAGCAGGCGAAATGGAAATGGGTGAAGTGAATCGATGGACTTGTACGCTCAGATAGACGTCAGCTGAGTGACCAGATAAATTATTTTCTCAGATTGGTTTTACCTTATAATTTGCTGTTAAGCTGCCGTGCAGAATGCTCCTTATTTGATCTTGTTGGTGGATTATTAGTCCGAGTTTTTCTTTTTTTAATAAACACTTTTATTTATGAGTGAATAATAACAACAAATTTGACTTTCTCTACATTATAATTATACATCATCATCAAAATTTCATGATCGGGCATGAATCTCGAGGTAAAATTAAATTAGAAACTTCCAAAATTAAAATTGGGACCATCCAAACTTAGATTTAAGGGAATTTATATTCAAACTGAACGTCTCGAAAATACAAACCTAACGACACCAAATTCGACTCAATCCGAGCACAAATGGGTCCAGAACAAGAACACGAAGCGCTGTTGGAAGTTCAAACCACAATTTGGATTACCAAAAGGATTTCAAACGTGGCATGCTTATAAATGAATCGAGTGGCTCGGCGAGACAAATCAACCGAGCCCAAATTCATGGAATTCTGACGTGATTAAGACCTTCAAATGTCTAACAAAAAGTCCATGATCAAGGGAATCAACATCGGTCGTCCATCCAAACCAGTCCTCATTTACCCTTGATCTTCCTCTTATTTATGGCTCATGCCACTCTAGGAAATCTATAAATAGATCCCTCCTTCCTCTTGAAAAGATAGAGATCGAAGATCGCTCTTGCCTCCATGTCTCCTCGATCACCGCCTAGAGTTCCGTCGGATCATCACTTGAGGCTTTGAACTCCGCCGAACCACCACCTGAGCCTCTAAGCTCCGTCGGACCACCACGTGAGGCCCTGAGCTCCATCGTACCACCACCTGAGGCCCTGAGCTCCATCGGACCACCACCTGACGCCCTAAGCTCTGCCAGACCGACACTTGAGGCCTTGAGCTCCATCAGACCACCACCGAGGCCCTAAGCTCCACCGGACCACCACCTGAGGCCTTGAGCTCGATCGGACCATCACATGAGGCCCAGCCTTCTACCAGACCACCACCTAAGGCTCGGATTACTGCCCGACCACCACCTGAGGCCTTGACTTCTATCAAACCACGACCAGGCTACCAACTAACGCCTTATTTTTAAAGTAATGATGGACTTCTGCCAGACCATCAAGTGACGTCGGACATTCAGCCCCATTTGTTGTTAGATTTCAAACATACGATTGACATTTATAATTTGATCGCCCTCATGGACAAGTCAGCCCATTGTAATATACCCAAACACTAGTGAAATAATTTCAGACTGGGCCAAACCCTATGATTTTTCCCCTTTCTAAGGTTTTTAACACCAAAATCTTATTTTCCATATATGTGAGCTGGATATCCATGCAAATGCTAAGACATAGGATTTTAACTCTATCGACGTATATATTCTAGCCCGCAACCGTTTGGCACCGTCTGTGGGAAACTCTATCCCACTATCCTAAGCACCACTTTGATGGCCAACAGGCGTGGCAATTGCATCTTGGGAGCCTCTCTCTCTAATTCACACCAATTCATAAGTCACTCTATGATTCATAAACACCAAGTATCTGCCTCTTTTAATCTTTGGGGGCAAAACGCTGCTGGAGAAGGAATTTCAAGACCTTCCCTAGAAGACCACATTAAAAAGATGAAGGAATCTTAGAATGAGATCTTTCAACTCCTGCGAGAGACTCGACAACTAACACTAGTACCACAAGAAGAGATTTTTCTCCCTCGAGATCCACCATGGTTTAAAGATAGTCAACCCAAACATCTTTACATCGAGATTCCCCTTCCTCTACCAAGGATGCGTCCTCCGACACATCAAGATAATGAGCTTGCTGACACAACAAGCTCTACCCATCCTTTATGCGCAGGTCTCCAACCTCGTATTCCTCTAGACATCCTCGAGGACTTAGCCCGATAGCACATTATTGAACTCCCTCATAATTCCTTACATCATGAATTATAAACATTGGTCCGAGAAGAGTTCCTTGTGGGAGGTGTAAGACAACCTCATCGTTAGTGAGACTTTCAGGAGTCATCATCTCTGACCGAAGCCATCCTTCAATACCCCATTCTTGCATGATTCAAACTACCAAGTATTGATTCCTAAGATGAGACATCTGACCTGTATGAGCATATCGATCATAATAGGACCATCATGCATATCTAGCGAGCCTCATATGCGCTCCTATACCAAGTTTTCCCTTCTACCCTCAAGGGACAAGCACGAATGTGATTCTATTCACTTCTAGAGTGAATAATCTTGACCTTTGTCAAATTTACCAAAGAATTCATTGAACAATTTATCGCCAATCGGAGAATTGATAAGGATTCTTCTCACCTTTTAGGGATTTGCCAAAATGAAGGAGAATCACTAAGGGAGTATTTTTATCAATTTTCAATGGAAGCTCGACAAATTCTAGGAGTAGATCCTGAATTGCTAAGAGGAGTTTTCCTTGGAGGACTTCATTCTAGTCCTTTTTACTTGGCCCTTATGTGAGATATAGCTCCCTCATATGCCGACTTAATCCATCGTGTGGAGGCACAAATATCTATAGATGAAGCCATCATTACTCACTAGAAATAATTTAAGCAGGCTTCTAAAAAGCATAAAAATGCTCCTACAATGTATAACTCATTCTCACAGTATAAGAAATAAGGGAAGAATAGTCTGCCTCCATTACCATGACACGAGTTTGGATAAGAGAAAGAGTATACACCTCTCAATGCATATAGAATAAATGTTCTAATGGACATTCAAGATTAATAAAATATTAAGTGACCTAATCCTTTGAAGTCGAATACAGTAAAGCAGGATCAACACTATCATTTCCACCATAGTCGTGGGCACACCATTGAAGTCGGTAAGCCACTCAAAAATGAAATTAAGACTCTTATCTAACAAGGCTACCTTTGACAGTTCATTTAGGATTCACCTGCTTGAGATGAGACTCATTTCACTGGGTGAAAAAATCAACAACAAGAAATGCAACCATTGAATAATATTTAAATGGTTAGTGAGATTAAATAACCATGCAATTTGAGCCATTGTGTTAGTATTATTACTTGTCTTATGTCATTGTATATCTCTTTTATGATAAGTTGGGTGTCACTCTAATATCCATAGTATTTTCTTCCAAGTTAAATGGCGTGTTGTCCCTATATGTATATCTTATGTATTATGTATGGTGTAACTCTTATATCTCTAATTCATACTAAAAACTTATTGTATTGTCTTACATAATATAATAATGTGTTATTTACTCCGTTGTGATATTATCCCATTCTTTAAAAAAGATAACAAATTATAATAAAAAATTGCAAATGAATATAATATCTTTACCCTTGATTTGAGAAATATGCAATCTTTATTGTGTCTCAATCATTGGATGATAAATCCCAAGGGGATTCGATCCTACCTCTTCCAAATAGGTTAACGTCATTGAGTAGATCTTTAACATAAAACTTTGGATAGGTCAAACATCCTAGGAGGATGTCAAGCAAATCTTAAATCCTTAATTCAAGAAACACATAATCTTTATTGTGTCTCAATCACTGGATGATTGATCCCATGCGGATTTGATCCGACCTCTTCTATATAGGTTAACATCATCGAGAAGGGCTCTCACATACAAATTTGGATAGGTCAAAAATTCTAGGAGGATGTCAAACAAATATTAAATCCTTGATTCGAGAAATACACAATCTTTATTCTGTCTCAATCACTGAATGATCGATCCTAGGGTGATTTAATCCGACCACTTCCATATAAGTTAATGTCATCGAGTAACGCTTTTATATATAACCTCAGATAGGTCATACATCCTTGGTGAATTCTCTCGACATATTTCATATAGGTTAACATCATCGAGCGACGCTCTGATATACAACCTTAAATAGGTCATACATCCTTGGTATATTATCTTGACCTCTTCCATATAGGTAAACTTTATCAAGCATTTATCTAATATACAATCTCGAATAGGTCATACATCCTTGGTAGATTCTTTTGACCTCTTTCATATATGTTAATTTTATTGAGCAATGCTCTAATATACAACCTTGGATAAATCATAAATCTTTGATGAATTATATTGGCCCACACTCTTCTACCAATCGTCAAACTTATGCCCATCATCGGACTTCTACCCATTTGCCAGACTTTTATCGGGCTTCTACTTGATGCAAAAATTTTACCCATAATTGGGCTACTACCCGTCATCGAACATTCATCAGGCATCTACCTCATGCTAAATTTCTACCCGTCAGCAAACTATTACCCATCACCCGACTCTCATCGAACTTTTACCTGACATCGAATTTCTACCAAAAGCTAAATTTTTACCCAACGTCGAGCTACTATCCGTCATCAGGCTACTACCTGTCGTTAGAATTTCATCGGGTTTCTACCCAATGCTGAATTTCTACCCATCATTGGGCTACTAGCCATCGCTAGACTTTCATCAGGCTTCTACTTGATGTTGAATTTCTACCAATAGTCAGACAAATACCCATCGTCGGACTTTCATCGGGATTCTACCCGATGTTGAAATTCTACCCATTATCAGGTTATTACCCATCACTAGACTCTCATCAGACTTCTACCCGATGTCAAATTTCTACCTGTCGTCATACTCTCGTCAGACTTCTACATGACGTAGAATTTCTACCCATCGTTAGGCTACTACCAATCACCGAATTTTCATCCGGCTTCTATCTGATGCTAAATTTCTACCTGTCTTCGGACTACTACCAATCGCCGGACTTTCTTCAAACTTCTACCCACATCGATTTTTGACCTGAAATTGAATTTTTACCCATTGTCGGGCTACTACCTATCATCAAACATTTATCTGGTTTCTACCTAACGTCAAATTTCTACCCATCATCGGACTACTACCTATCGTCAAACTTTTATCAGGCCTCTACCCGATTCTGAATTTCTACACATCATAGGATTTTCATCGAGCTTCTGCCATACGCTGAATTTTTACCCATCATTGGACTCTCATCGAACTTCTACCTGATGCCAAT